AAACTGTCTGTTTCAGGACTCTTTCCTCCTCCTTTTTTCTGCTTTTTCTTTGGCCTTTTTCTTTCTGCTTTTTTCAGAGACAGAACATATGTAATAATAAAATCAAGCTAAATTATCATATATAATGAACTTAAACAGATGGTACCATCCCTCTAAATTTCACCATTACTATGAGAAACTAAAAGGTACAAATAAATTTTAAGTCCTTATTTGATGATATCAATAATGCTATCAATGGAAAAATAAATAAACTACACTATAACCCAGATGGCTAATGAAATTTATGACTAATTTATTAAACCACTTATTAAACCAAATTGATTATTTTAGATCTCACAAATCTAATGTAACTTTCCAAATAACTAAAAGTGAGGGGAAAATCTCAACTAACGTCCATTTAAAAACAGCAAGCAAGTAATCTTGGTTGATGTACAGTTAGTTCCAACATCAAGTAGCTATTCCCTTTCTTCTTGGTTTCTTAAAAATAAAATTATTAAAACTGAAACACTTTCACTTGCCTTTACAGGTAAAGAGGTGAAATTCAAATGCCAAAGGTCAGAGGTCAGAAGTAGTCACATTTTTCTTGCTGTCAAAGACTGACTTTTGGAAGTAGGGCATGGGGAGAAGTAAATCATAATTTAAAATTCTGTACTCAAACTGTGGTATATTATGCCCTTGCTATATTGGCCTACATAGTTACAACACAATATGGTCAGCTATAACCCAAACACAAAGTTGAGTGTCATAGCAAAAACAGACTGCTGACAGAGGCATTTACTCTGGATTCTGGGTAGGCGGAGCAACTATTCTGTCTACTAGATGTTTTGATAAGCAAAACCATGATTCCGAATTCAACCTAACAATTTTAGTGTGTGGACTAATATATCAGCGATTTGTGGGTACATGATTTGTGGAAGCAAATTACTTAAGATCCCCATAAAACAGGATAAATCTATGATAAAATGAATTAGGAGTCCATATCTAAGTGTTTTCTAAAACTGAAAATATAATATATATAGTCATCGTGCTTATAATTAGTAACCATATTGTCACTGTGGACTTAGTAAGAAACCTCCTCTAAGGCAACTTTTAAGTATGCCACCTCTGCATTAGATTTAGGAGTGGAGACTTAAAGGGGCTGGGGTAAATTTTAGACGACCTAATGAAATATCGTCAGTTTCAATGATTTTGAATGGAATCTAAATGTGTGTGGCCCTACCGGTCACAGATGCTGAAAAAAGGCTTCTGTATTAAGTAGAAGGTAAAGCAAGACACTCGCGAAGTCATTCCAAGTTGACAAATGTTACGTGGTCTGGAGTGTATATGGACTGCATTTCATCAATTCTAGGACACATATTTTTCCACGTTTTCACAAACCTAAAAGCATCTGAAAATTGCTGTCTGCCAGGCGGCAGTCCCACTGCAGTTGTCATGGCTTGCACTTAAGCATCAAAATTTGCAGAACTGATGTCAGCAGCTTGGAAAAGTTCCAGGAACAAGAGTGGAACAATCTTTTAAGGAATGCTGTGTCACCAAGGTTTTGATGGCATAGAGTATGATATTGTGTGGAAAAACAAAGACATCAAACCATAAGTCCAGAAGTGATCCAGAACAATTAAATCCAACATGGGCGGGTTTGAAGAATATCTTAACCCTTCGTTTCTCACTGTTGGTACAACTGACATTTTGAGCCAAATAATTCTTTTTTTTGGTGAGGGAAGAATGGCCAGGAGTTAGCGGGTAGCGGCTGTAAGTGAGGACTGTCATGTGCATTACAGAATGTTTGCAGCATCCCTGGTCTCTATCCACTACATGCCAATAACGTTTGACAAGTTATGACAACCAAAAATGTCTCCAAACATCATCAAATGTCCCCTGGGGACCAAATGCTCTCCCAGCTGAGAACCACTGCCTTAATCAATTTATTTTGCCTACTTTTTCCTTCTTACAAATATACATATATGTTTTCAAAATTCAAAATTAGTGTTAATGAACTGTTCAATAAGAAAATCCCGAGAGATAAAAGTATTGTGTTAAAACTGGCAGCAATATTTTTCATAGAGTACATCGAATACACAAAAATCTTAAAATCAGTGGCATGCAATGAAATTTAGCCACCCAGCATCCATTCTCCCTCCTCATGGAATGCTCCCCGCGATTTCCTGCTGGGGAACTATTTCCTCACTATGCACAGTTTTAGAAATAGCCAGTTCTCCCCTTGCTAATGGTTCTCTAGCCTTCCTTTTGTTTCTTTTGAGCTATATATTCTTTACGCTCCTAGAAATTTCCTTGCTTTCTATGCTAATCAGAGCTAAGTTTCAGTTTTCCAACTAAACAAATCTAACGGAAACAAAGTGCTTATCTCAACTATGCTGATAGAAGACATTTTGGAATATTTCTCTGCCGTAAAATTCACCTGCCTGTTAAAAATGACACCACCTCTCCTCACCAACCACCACATGGGTAGAGTGACTAGAGGCATGGATGAAGCCAGAATTGTTAAAACTCTGGCATGTGTTTTAGGGATTCACCATACTCTATTTTTCTCACTGCTTTAAAATTTCCATTTAAAAAGGGTTACATGATAGTAGATAGTCTATAAAGGAAAATATCACAATTGAAATTAATTCCAAAGTCCTCATCGAACAAGCTTCTTCAAAACATATGTGGATGCCTATGTCCAGATATTAAGTGCTTGAGAACTGGTCAACAGATTTGTGTGCATTTGGAGGAAGAGAAAACTTGGTACACAGGGCACATACTATATGAGGAACAGTACCAAGGTAAGAGGAGCCATTTTCTAAAACTGCCTACAAATCTCTATTCAATTTAGCCAACACCTACAATAATGTATACATGCTCTGTGACTCCAAAAAGTTGCTGCCAAAAGACTGCACACAAAACCTTCTTAATGCTACTTCTGAAGTTTCTTCTCTGGTAGAAAAAAAAGAAAGAAAAAAATAGCTATTGATTCTTTTAAGAACTATCATATAGATGAACACACACTTCTTTTTGCCAAGATTTGACAGCTGGAAGTTTTCATGAAGGAGGCTTCAAACAAAACATTTTTTAAAAAGAAAAAAATAATATAAAGGCTATGCCACCCTCTGCTCTCCTTAAAGGTGACAGAAAATAAATTCTTTATCAATAGTCATTGGTCCAGGTTATAGATAGGCTGCCAACCCCATTCCACCTGAGATATGAAATTGGCTTTTACTGGCACCTTTTATTCATCTCATCTGCCCTTTCCCTTTTATGAGCCAAAGCAGAGCAAATGGGAGCTGAATAATGAAGAGAAAAAAAAAAACCACAGTGAGAGTTATTTTAACAAAAAGCCTGCACCATATGGAGAGAAGGGAAGACCAAAAAAAAAAAAAAAAATCCTATGTGAAATATAATAAGCAAAGTAAATATGAGAATCTAACCAAAAAATCCCTATTAAAATAAAACTCAATTAAAAATAACAAAATTTCAAAGACATTTTACCATATTGTCTTTGCTTCTTAATGAAAGTAATCTAAATTTTTTTTGAATATTTAAACTTCACTATCTAATTATATAGTCTATCAACCTAAGCCAATTAAATAATTATAAAGTACTCCATGGAAAACTGTGGAAATATACGCAGACCTTTTTAGCAGTACCAATTACATCTTGATTTTTTTAAATCGTAAGCCATGTACCTTCTCTATTTCCTGAGAAAATGGCGTTCTTAATCTAAAATTCATACTCTGTTCTGTATATTTTGTGCAAACTGGGAGTTAGCTTAGCAATTTGTCAAAAGAAATATTAAAGAATAATTATTCATCACCCTCATTTTAAAGATGAAATATTTAAGGCTCCAAGAGGTTAAACTATACAGTGAAGTTTCTATGGCCAGTGAGGACTACAGTCCAATTTAAAGATCTCTTACCTCCAGATCTCTCAGGCAAAATAGTTGGGCAGTTCAAAACAAAACAAATACAAACTAAGCATCTGCTCGGTGGCAAGCATGTGTTTCGTGCTCACAGTAAAAAGACATTCACATGATCATGTAAGCATAATTCTCTAAGCTATATGAAAACTCCAGAAATAGTACAGATGGGAAGCACTTTATCTTGGATTAAAATGTATTCCCATCTTTTTATGAATAAGTACATACTCAAACTTCAAAAAGTGGTACATTTTTTTAAAAAAATGATGCTTTTTAAAAAATCCATTTATGGTGGTTTTTTTAAATTTCAGTTGATAGCTCGTCAACATCTTTTTGAATCAGCACACAAGGCTTTAACTGATGGTCTAGTATTCCACTGCAGGCATGTACTGTCATTCATTCGGTCAGTCTCCCAGTATGGTCAGTTTGGATTGCTTCCAATTTTCTACTGTTACAAAAACACTTCAGTGAACATTCTTTTAGGGGTTGTTAGTAGTAGTAGTAATAATGGCAACAATAAGATGGAAGAGTGTGCAGAGGAAAAAATCTCAAGCAATAAAATGTTTAAAAGGGGTTAACTTCAGAGGATGTTAACAGGATTTTTATTTCCAACCTTACTTATATCTGTAACATCCTAATGTTTTTAAGTTAACAGAATAATAATTAGTGCTATTTGTTAATCCAGGCACTATGTATCACACATGATATTCATCATGACCAAAATATTTACTTTAGTGCCTGTAGCAGGCAATATAATTTTTAATCATGAACACATTCGCTGATCAACTAGGAAGTTCCTGGAGAATCCTCAAAAACTCCTTCTCATATATTGAGAAAACAGGGCTCCATATTCAAGCAACCAATACAAGAGATATAATGATAATTCACAGTCAATTTTGGGAAGCAGGTAACATAAGGCTCTAAGAGGCACAATCTAAACCCGAAAATGGCCAAGTTCATGTGTTCAGCACATTCTGAGGTTCAGCCATACACAAATAATGAGCCTTATTACCATCATACTTCTCTAAAAATATTTGATAAATATGAAAAGTCCACCAAAACCTCTCTCTGATACCACAAAACTCACCGTTTCTGATCTTCAGATTCTTTCTTGGCTTGCTCCAATGCCAGCTCCTCAGCCACTCTTCTTTTCAATTCTTCATCAGAAACTAGAATCAATAAAGAGCAGGAGATAAAACAGGTGACTTCTAAAAAACAAAAGTGAGAAAATACTCAAGAAAACCCAGCTGAGACTAGATTTGAATGGGCAAAGTTTGCCAAGTGGCCAGTGTCTCCGTGGAACTTCTGAAGCACTGTGGAAAAGACCAATTAGTACACTTCAGGAGTAATTTAATCAAGAGTTCCCTGGTGACCTAGATTTCCACTCCTGCCAAAATTTATAACAAACTCAAGGAAGTGCTTACTGCACAGTGGGGACTGAGTCGGTAAGGACCAGTTCTTTAAGATGATGTCCTAACATTAAAGTCTGACAGTGGTGTGTAGGGAGAGGAGAGGCTGTAAGGAAGGGACTTTGGGGGGGAAATGACAAAAAAAAAAAAAATCTTCTCACTTCAGCAATTAAACATCTAACAAAATCATGTATTACAAAGAGAAAATCATTTGTAGTTACATTCATTTTTCCATTATTTGTGAAAAAAGGCATTTGTCATTTATGAAAATTTTTTGGAATACATGTCATTCAAATTCAAGCGTCAGCAGCTGGAGAGAGACACAGAAGAGTGCTGAGAACACAGCTGGAGCTTTCTAAATACATCTGGTCTTTCCAATTAGAAGACTGTGTATGGTATGTTTCATAAAGGTTCTTACAGCTATGATGGTAAATAAAACGGACAAATTTCGCATGCTTCCTTAAGAGCCTTCCACAAGAAATAAACAAAAACTAACTCCTCTTCACTAGAGACCTACTAGCCAAAATTATGAACAAGAAAGCACCGAAGCACTCAGGAGAATCTAGGAATATCCATGGGACCTAAGTTTTATTTCAGATGGTTGAGCCTATTAGATGGAAAATTAGACAACAGTGTCTCTTTTGGTAATCTTGACATTATAAATGCTTAGTCCCACAGCATATGCAAAAATACTATTTACAATAGGAAATGCAAAAACCCTTTTAAATATTTCACTGACATGGGTTAGTAACAAAGAAGATATCTGAAAGATCAGAAGGATGATTTCTCTTAGTTGTGGACTATCTGAGTGCAACAGCAGCATCCAATGACACCATCAAGAAGGTAAAAAGCCCTCAGAATGGGAAAAAGTATCTGCAAGTCATACGCAGCTGACAAGGGACTCATATCCAGTGTATGCAAGTAGATAGAGCATACAATATATAAAGAACTCTTACAGACAAACAATAAAAAGACAACCCAATTAAAAATGGGCAAAGGGTATAAATAGGCATTTCTCCAAAGAAAATACACAACTATTTGTCAATAAGTACATAAAAAGATGTACAACAGCATTAGTCATTAGGAAAACGCAAACGAAAATCACAATGATATATCATTTAAAACCCATTCTAATCAAAAAGACAATAACAAGTGTTGGTGAAGATGCAAAGAAATTGGAACCCTCACACATTGCTTGTGGGAATGTAAAATGGCTCAGCCACTGTGGAAAACAGTTTGGCAGTTTCTCAAAATGCTAAAGAGTTACCACATAACCCAGCAATTCTAATCATATATACTCAAGAAAATCTGAAAACATGTCTATACAAAAACTTATACATGAGTATTTATAGTGGCATTAGCCACAATATCCCAAAACAAAGCGCAACCTAAATGCCTAGAAACTGATGTGGTGTATCCATTCAATACAATATTGTTCAGCCATAAAAACTAACAAAGTACTGATACATGCTACAACATGATGAATCTTGAAAACATTATGCTAAGTGAAAGAAGTCAGACACAAAAGTCACAAACTATATCCATTCATATGAAAAGTCCCGAACAGAAAAATCCATAGACACAGAAAGTAGATCAGTAGTTCACTGGGGTAGGAGAAAGGGGAAATAGGGAATGACAGCTAATGGATATGGAATTTATTTTTAAGATATTAAAAAAAAATTTTTTTTTTTTTTTTTTTGAGACTGAGTTTCACTCTGTCACCCAGGCTGGAGTGCAGGGGTGCGATCTCGGCTCACTGAATCTCCGCCTCCTGGGTTCAAGCGATTCTCCTGCTTCATCCCCCCAAGTAGCTGGGATTACAGGCATGTGCCACCATGCCTGGCTGATTTTCATATTTTTGGTAGAGATGGGGTTTCATCATGTTGGTCAGGCTGGTCTCAAACTCCTGACCTCAAGTGATCTGCCCACCTCAGTCTCCCAAAGTCCTGGGATTACAGGCATGAGCCACCATGCCTGGCAGAAAATATCCTAAAACTAGATTGTGTGCTGGCTGCACAACTCTATAAATATACTAAAAAACACTGAACTGTACACTCTGAATAAATGAATTTTATGATATGCTAAATGTATCTTAATAAGCTGTAAAAAAGAGAGAAAGGAAGAAAGGAAAGAATATAATAAAAAGAACATTGTACAGGGAATCAGGGAATAGAGGAAAAACTATTGAAGGTCTAATGCCAGTTTGGCCATCAACAATCTGGAGGAACCTTGGGAAAGTGATTAACCTCTCTGGGGAGCAAGACAACCTTTTCTTAAATGGGTGTTTAGGGTCCCTTCCAACTGCATACCATGCTTCTATTTTGCCTCTCTCTTACTTCATAGTCTATAGCATGAGAAATACACAAGTCTCTACTTTGATGGAATCAAACAAAACCTAGAAAACCCCTAGAACAGAATTCTGTTTGCATTCAGGCAGGTGTCAGAGCTCTTTCAGAATGAAAGATTTTTAAACAATCAAAATAAAAGCAGAGAAATTGCAGGCAGTAAGAGCTCCACAAAAAGTCCAAATAGTCTGCTTTTCTACTAGCCAAATTTTGGATAAATCAGTTAATCTAACTGAATTTTAGTTTCCCCATCTAAAAATATGACATATGGGTGCACCTGTCAGCTATGAAATTCTAGACTATACACTCCACAAGGCAATAATTTTCACACTTTCATCTACTTCTCATAAACAAGTAAAACAACGTGACACTAAATTTTTTTCAAGTTGTATACAGCCAATAGCTCCACTAGTAGCAAAAATTAAGACAAATATTTAACATAATTAGTACGACCTGATCATACCAGTTAGGATCAACTCACAGTCAAATGGCCTATGTAAACTCATGCTGCCTCTCCTAGACTCCTTCAAATTAAAACAGCAAGATATTTCCCAGGCAAAATTCAATCAGATTCTCAATCAAAATTCAATTTAATTTAATTCAATTAAAACTAGGCTTCTGTAAAACCTCAGAATCTAACTATGACGCACTGAGATCAGCGTTCTAAGAAAGATGATAAAATTTTATCTTACCTTTTTTTCTTGTCTTGGGTTTTTTGTTTGTGCTTATCGTTTGAATATCTGTCCCCTTCAAAACTCTTGTGGAAACTTAATCCCCACTTTGGCAGTATTGAGAGGTAGGGCCCTTAGGAGGTGAGACTGGGTCATGAGAGTTCATGAATGGGTTAACCCCTGCATGGATTAATGGTTTATCATGGGAGTGAAAATCTTAAAAAGAAAAAGAAGGCCAGGCACAGTGCCTCATGCCTGTAATCCCAGCACTTTGGGAGGCCAAGGTGGGCAGATGACTAACTTGGTGAAACCCTATCTCTATTGAAAATACAAAAATCAGCTGGGCCTGGTGGCATGTGCTTGTAATCCCAGCTACTCAGGAGGCTGAGACAAAAGAATCACTTGAACCCAGGAGGCAGAGGTTGTAGTGAGCCGAGATCACGCCACTGCACTCCAGCCTGGGTGACAGAGCAAGACTCCAGCTCCAGAAAAAAAAAAGAAAGAAAGAAAAACAAGAGAGAGCTGGACTAGCATACTGAGCACCCTCACCATGTGATGCCCCCACACAACCTAGGGATTCTATAGGAATCCCCACCAGTAAGAAGACCTGCACCGTATGCAGCCTTTCAACCTTGGGCTTCAAAGTCTCTATAACATTAAGTAACAAATTTATTTTCCTTATAAATTACCCAGTTTTACATATTCTGTTATAAGCAACAGAAAACAGATTAAGCAGTTCGGTTTTTCCAGCTTCACAAAGGTATAATTGACAAATAAAAATCGTACATATTCAAGGTGAACCATGTGATTATTTGAAATGAATCATGTAATGATTACTACAAATACATGCAGCACCACACAGTTACCATTGGGGTGGGGAGCACTGGGGACACTTAAAATCCATTCTCTTATAAAATCTCAAGTTAAAAAAAATTATTAACTAAAGTCACCGTCTTATAACTGAAAGCTTGTACTCTTTGATCAATATCTCCCGATTTCCCCACCCAGGTCCCCTGGTAATCACTCTTCTACTCTGCTTCTCAGAGTTAAACTGTTTTAGGTTCCACATATAGGTAAGGAACATAGAGTATTTGTCTTTCTGTGTCTGGCTTATTTCACGTGGCATAATGTCATATCTTCAGAGTACACTTGATGCCTATGACATAGGGGTATCTTCCTACCAGGGGAAAAGCTCAAATCAGCGGTGAGCTGTTTATTCCAATGTGATCAAACAGTGACCAGCTGGGTGGACAGGCATGAAGCCATGTGGTGAGAAAGTGTTTTGGGGTGAAGAAAATGCAGCTTGGACAAGGCTCACCATTTCTTTCTCTATCCCCTTCTGCCTACTACCATCAGCCCTGCCACCTGCTATGCGGCGAGGTAAGAAAGAGACACAGATAACAGGTGGCATCATCTAGGTATGCCATGACAGGAGAGAAAAAAGTGGGAAGAGGAAAACAGCAGCAATAAAAGGGACAGGAAAGCTACCGTGGCCACTGAGAAAGCCATGTCCAAGTGACCAGCTGGCTGACATCACTTTTGGTCCATAAAGGAACCAAGCACAGCTGTCTTTCTAATGTCCTACCTATTTCCAGAAAAGAACAAAATAAAACAAACACAAATTTTGGGTCAAGCCCAAGGTCACAACTCAAAAAGTAATTACCTTAGCTACAAATGAGAAGTTAAAATAACAGAAGATAAAAACATGACCTGGCATAAAGAGTTTAAAATCTAAAATAGCAAA